GGGACCCCGATCACATCCCTAAGCAGGCTCTGGATTGGAATCCCCAAGGAAAACGCAAACGTGGTCGCCCCAGGCAAACTTGGCGGCGCACTGTAGCGGACGAGGCGAAGAAGATCGGCAAGACCTGGAGCGAGATCAAGCGAGAAGCTCAAGTCCGAACGAGATGGAGGACTGTTGTGGACGCCCTCTGCCCCACCTAGGGGACATAGGACCATAAGTTAAGTTCACTAGGAAATCCAGCGACGTTTCATCCCCTTTTTTCATAAAAAAATAATGAAATTGGCTGTACTCTTCATCCCCTATTTCACCCTATTCTTTTTCTAGTCAGCCCAGCGTGAAGATTCAGGTCGGAGGATGTGACCTTCACTCCTCACGCTTTTGCTCTGGTAGTTTAGAGAGGTGGTTCGGAAAATCCAGTGACGTTTCATCCCCTTTAAAAATTAAGTTGATTATGTGCTTTTCATAGCCTATTTCACCCTATTTCTTTCCTAGTCAGGCCAGCGTGAGGAGTGTAGGCCATTATCTTTTAATTGCTTTTGGTAAATTAGAGAGGTTTGTCCTCCTGCAGCGGAGATTATAATGACCTGATTTCACCCTGTTAAGCTTTTATTATTGTGGCAAAAAGTCGCAATGTCTTTCTGCAAAGTTTATTGTTTAATCTACCTCACCAAAATTGGTTCTTCGGTGTATTGTTTGATGTAGTGATGAAAAAGTTACAGATAACCAGACCAGTTACTTTCGCATAATATTTGAGGATGAAGAATGTTTTCGTATATTTTTCGACCATGAACTTAATGTTTAATGTGTGATATCACTTCCATGACTGATTTATGCCCGTTTTCACCATCAGTCTCTAATTTTTAAGTGACCCTTGTGGTAACACATACCAGGAATTTTGTTTTCATAGGGGTCACTTAAAACTTAGGGATTTATGGTGAAAAAGGACATTAGACAAGCAAATCTACGGAGTTAGCTAATCATCCACTTAATGCCCTAGAATTACCAGGAAAACTTAGCAAAAATCACTGCGCTCCAGTATCACGATTCAGCAAATTCATTATGTGCAATTTATCATGACAATCCAAACCCAGCCGCCCACTAATGTACGGTTAACCAACTCATTAGTGCACGTTAGATTTCCGAATTATGTTCGATGCTACAACGATCCACTGGAAGTGGTTGGTAATCGATTTTCGAAAACCTGATAAAATGTTTTAATAAACCCCTCAGCATGGATGCAAGCGGCGCAGGACCGGTCTTTGTGGAAATCCTTGGGGGAGGCCTTTGTCCAGCAGTGGACGTCTTTCGGCTGAAACGAACGAACGAACGAAACCCCTCAGCTAAAGGGCACCTTGTAGGCTATGTATGTAAAGCCGCACTGCTAGAAGAAAAGGGATTAGATAATCATTAAAAATATCTATGCTTTCAGGAGCCATTTGTGAGCGAGCTAGAGGAACTAAAGAGCTAGAGAACTACTTCTATCTTGGATTTATTTGGATAAGGACTAGTAATTCTGGATTAAAGCATAATTAGGAATGTCGTGTATTAGGTCTACAGTGATTTGAGATAGCATTCGTTCTACAGTTATTCGGGATTTCGTGCATTTGGACATTTTGGACTAGAGTGATTCAGGATAGCGTGAATTCGGGTTAACGATATCTGGAATAGCGTTATGAGGAAGAGTGGATCAGGGTTCAAATTTCAAGAATTAAGAAGTTTCTTTTTTCATTCATAATTTGATTCATTTTGACTAACACTACGAATTTTATATTTTACGGTCTCTTTGGTTGTATGAAAATTCTTAACCTTTTAGAATAATGGTTAAACCATTTGAAATAAATGTCACTTACATACTTAGGCTGAGCTGAGTTGCACCACCTAACATTAACCACGGTTAACTATACGTTAACCGATGTTTTAGGTATGGAATTTGACAGATTTTTGACGTTTGTTAAAGTCAGTTTGTCAAACTCAGCCTTGATGTCTACAGTCTCATAAGCCACTTCCATTCCACTCACATTTTGTCTCCGTTCTGATAGCAGAATGTCATTACGCATCTGCTAAGGGATTACGCCTATTCGCCGATGATTAATAGTCCAGCTGGTTCAGCTGCCTATTGGACACCTGTCGCCAGTCTCGTAGCATAATTAACTTTAGCCGAGACATTCTTAGTTAATTAAAAAAGCCAACGCACCCATGTCTGAACGAATCTTGTAACATTTTCTACGATGCTTTGCGAAAATTACGTTTCAGCCTGCAACAGTCCAGTGTAGTCAGCGTGTAGTTCGTGACACCCAAAGTAGCTAAAAGTTTCTTCAAAAATCAAATATAATTAAAAATCAAAATCAAAACCTTATTCCAATTGTAACAATGACGTGTTGCGAAATATTAGCTTCTTTGGGTGTCACGAACTATATGTAGATATATTTGACGCTGACTGTTCAATGTAAACCTCTCTATGGAATGCCACAAAGTTATGAACTTCATCTTTATCTTCCAGCCACTGCCAGTGATCTTCTTGAGGTCGTCGGTCCATCAAAAGTTAGGAATTCTAGTAGGTAACCGTAAGACACTACATTTGCCAAGATATTATGATCTCTAACTCTAACTGTTAAGTGTTACACCTTTAACGAGTTGGACATATTGTTATTAAATAACATAATAATAGTTTTGAAAATCAACTAATTTACGGCTAAAACCAATTTTAACATAATATCGATCGACTGCGGCCGATACAAATATTATTGTTTGATGTTTGCGCCATCTGTATATTCTATACGAAATTAAATTTCTACTCCCTCATGAACGGGACTGGAGTCTGGAATTCTGTACAAGCGGGCACGTATTGTAGAGGTTCCCGTTATATCATACAGATGTCGTTGTATTGTAATTTATTTTCATTTCTTGATTTATTTACTTGTTTACTTGGACCAGCATCAATAGATAGGCTAAAAACAATAATTTTCTAGAATCTAATTTGTATGCATAAGTACTCCATCAGCCTAATTCTTTTTTCCTAAAATTTTGGGCTATTTTCGTCTGTCTTGAATTCTTAAAGCGATAATGGGAAATACCTTTTAAAGATAATGAAAGTCTTGGAATCAAATCAAATTAATTAATTACGTAAATGCTAATCTCTGATTTTATCAACAATTTCCGAAAACAAATTCCTTTACAACAATAATTAATTAGGCAATAGTCTAAAATGGAAACTCTTATTTTAAACGGAAACAGATATAAATCTTAATTTTCCTACGTGGATGTATTTATACGTATTTCTTTATTTTAATCAAGAAAATAATTTTAAACATCCATAATACTGTCATTTATAAATATTTTGGGAAAACCCAGATAAGTAGATACAAATAAGATGTAACTAATGAAATTTGAGGTCACAAGTGTCGTCAGAGAGGTTTTAAGGGTTTTGAAATACCTGTAATACCTTACCTACCTTAAGATAGAAATTGACGTATACAACAACTGATGATAACAAGGAAAATCGAAATCCTAGAGGTCGTAGACCAAAATTGTCAAATTAATGGACTCTAAATAATAAAAAAATAACCAAAGGACACATAGGTGTGTAATAACTTGATCATTTCTCTATCACATGTGTACACGTGATTTAGATAGGTACCTATATGAAAACAAAAACAACAAGTGACTAATAAGTAGATTATTATGATTTAATCGAACAAATACAATATTTCTTACTACGAGTAAATTAATACGGAAAAAGTTACCTCTTGCTACATAGGTAATCAAGTACACATACATAGATTTGATGAAGCGATTAAAATTATAGAAAAATCTGTACAAAATAGTAGAAACCTTTATGAAATTGCAATCGATGACGACTTTTACCAACTAAAACTCTTCATTGTAGTCAATTGTCTCTCTTACACCCTTGACAAGCTTAAATGAGTAAGAGAGTAAGATGTACTCGTAGATGATAATAATATGAATATTGATAGTCTTTAATATTTAAGTGATACTATCTATTTGAGAGCTGTAATTTCCTGTGATAATGCCTACAATAATAGCTTAGCCGTCATTAATAAGCTTGATAATGAGCTTAATATCTAATCAGACGAATATGACTTAATTAATCAAATTATTGTTTGTTTCAAGATTATGATGCAAATTTTAATTGCGTGCAGAAATATCGCAAACCGGATGTTTTCTCATCATCATCATAACTTCAACCATAGGACATCCACTGTTGAATACATGCCTCTCTCAATGATTTCCACAATGACCGGTTGGTAGCGCCTTTATCCAGCGCTTTCCTGCTACCTTTATAAGGTTTCCTGATCTTAGAAAATTCAAAACATTCATCAGTCTTATCGTTCGTATAAAAATCACCCATAGAACGCAACAACATGCGGTTTTGGACCTATAAATTAATTACCTATCCAGCAACAGCTTTCAGAAATCATAAAATAATATGGCGTAGTATGTCGTTGGGATAAAACACGTCATCAAAAACTTTGGCATTCTTTGTATTGGTTTGATTAGATAAATACGATTTAGGAAATTACACGAATTATATTAGAAAGAAATACTTAAGCTAAAAAATACGAGACAAAGTTTGTTCGTCGAACTACAGATTTGGACCCAGATCTGTGCGTTGAACAGAATTCAAAGACACCAAATCTGTGCGGAAACTGGTACAACTTATACAGTTAAATATACGAGTAAATGCAATTTTGTAATAAGTTGTGGTGTGATGTCTGTAAGTCAAATTTCTATAGGTGCAACTGTGATGATTGTTGATCTTTCACACAAAAAACATGGTATCAATGCGCATCCGTTAAATAAAATTATTTTTTCCATTGAACACAATAAAATAGATGGAATCAATAGATTTCTAGATAACATTACCTATTAAGAAATGAACGGACAACGTCGCTATAGATAACTAGTGTTATTAACCTAAGATATTAGAATTAGACGATAAAAGGATTGAATGGTATAAATTGCCGGATTTGTTAAGCACTGATTTATTAGTGATAAATCATCAAAATGAAGTGGACATGGTTACTGCCGTTGCTCTTAGTGGCCCTAGCTGCTTCTCAGGATGAGTCAGTGGAGGAAGAGTTGTCTTTAGCTGAGAATTGTGACCAAGAGGCATGCCAGCTTCCCAACTGCAGATGTTCGAGCACGGATATCCCTGGGAACCTCCAAGCGAGGGACACCCCACAGGTTTGTTTAGTTTTATTCTACCATCTCTGTGATTGTGAAAGGATTTGCAATCACATTCCAAACAGTTTACTAGAAAACATGTAGGTTGTGAAACGGTGATGTCTAGTGAAAAACATAGGGATTCACAAGTTAGTGAATAACTATTTCATCCATAACTAGCGTGTGAGTGAGCAGTGGTGCTAAACATAGGCCTCCCTCAGCCAGTGTGGGTCACTTGAATTCTTGTTAACACAAGATTGGGATAATGAACCTTCCCATGTCATGCGTAGGTTTTCGTTACTGAGTTCTGAAAGCAACCAGTGGTGAACTTTGAAATCGCACTTTAAATTTTAGACCCATTTTGTGCTAATTACATGAGATCCTAAATAATACTAGATTTGAAGCAATTATGTATATGGTTATAAATGCCACGCTCTCAGTCATCGACAGAAGGCAGGGAAAGTCTTTGTTTTCCGTAGCTGACAATATTGCTTGGCAAAATTAAATTACGTCGCACTTAAATTAAAAATAACATTTTGCTACGCAACAAACAAAATCTTGATTTTCCTTTATTATCGTTACTAACGTCCATAATATCATCGATTACTAATAATCGGAAACTTATCTAATCAGATATTTCTAAATACGACACATATTTGCTTATTTTATGAACCAACCATAAATCAAATCTAAATAATTATGACACCAACTTTATTATTGGCATTATCAACGTCACAGAACAACTTAGCTTGTACTAACAAACATTAAATAATAGTAGAAGCCCGAGTAAAACCTAATTTTTCGCAAATGAAAATTAATCACATTGAGTAACTAAACCTTCAGAATTATATCACTGTTTTTTCCCTAAAAATACTTACCTTATCATATAATTTACAATAGGGATCTGGTTACACAAAATAAATATTTATAATATGTTAGAATGTAAGTAGTCAACGTCAAGTCAGTTAAAAATGTGCGTGCTCGACTTATTCTTAATTACAATGCAGAATTCAAAATTACACCTAAGAATCACAATTGCATTAGTGATGTATCTCTATTTCTACAATATTCTATTTCAGTTCGTCCTCTTCACTTTCGACGATGCCATCAACGTCCTCAACATCGAAACCTACCGAAGCCTCCTCGACAATCGTAGGAACATCAACCAATGTCCCGTCGGAACCACGTACTACGTCAGCCACGAATACACTAACTACCAACTGGTGAATGAACTCTACAACAAGGGTCAAGAGATCGCCCTTCACTCCATCTCCCACAGAACCCCTCAGACTTACTGGCAAGAAGCTGATGTCGAGGTGATGAGAAGGGAATTTGGAGACCAAAGGCAGCAGATCGCTCACTTTGCTAATATTCCCACAGACGCTGTAAAAGGTTTGTTAATCTTAATTTTGCAGTTAATTTTGATGGAGTCTCCCCAACTGGTCTGCCCAGCAGGGGAATGTAGGACTAATCCTCAATTTTTCCTCTGGTAAATTTTAATTTACCGTCTGTAGAGGGTGGTCATGTTGCAATAGAAACTAAAACACCTGATAATGATGATGATGGACAGTCTGATGTACAAAATTCATTCAAGTAAAGTCACAGTTACCTACATAAAATATGACCAATGCAACATCAATTTAGTTTATCAATCATAAATTAATTAATCTTTAATGCAATCAAATGCTTAAGATGTCTATAACTGATTTCCCACAACTTTTTTCCTTCAGGTGTCCGCATGCCTTTCCTCCAAATGACTGGAAACGCGACATTCCAAATGATGACCGAGTTTGGTCTTGAGTATGACTGCTCTTGGCCAACTGTTACCTACATCGACCCTGGTCTGTGGCCTTACACCCTGGACTACGCGTCGATCCAGGACTGTGTGGTGCCTCCTTGTCCCTCTGCTTCCATTCCTGGGAAGTGGGTTCTACCAATGGTGACATGGCGTGACTTGAACGGATCTCCCTGTGCTATGGTCGATGGATGCTTTGCCGTGTAAGTATTTCACCTAAAGATAAATGATTAACGCTGTTAGGTAGACACCTTGATTTTGTGTTTCAAAAATTTCGATAAAACAAAAAGTAGGGCGAATGAAGCGAAGTTACAATCATTAATCATGGTGTCATTATAATCTAGAAATGTATAATACTCGCGCAATAAATAAAACAAACTCAGTGTGATATTTCGAGGGAATACCCTTGAACTTCTTAGCTTAATCGTTCATAATTCGTTACAATTATACATTGACATGTGCCGATAATTCCTAATCCCATATCGATTAACGCTGTAAAATACGGAAGCATTTATATACGAGTGAGTCACCTTATTTGACGTAAAGCTTAATTTTTCAAGATTAAGAAAGTTTTTTTAAGATAAAGAAAGAAATGGTGATGATGATGATAGAATCATGAAAGTAGGTCATAATCAAGGTCTTATACCTACATTACGATTAAAGAAAGACAGCCGAAAATATGTAGTTGGGTATTACAAATTTTATATGAATTTACATTTTTAAATGAATATGAATATGAATTATGGGAAGGAAAGAGGGGATTCAAATTGCATTGGACTGGTGTTTAATAAGCCGTGTTTTATTCCCAGTCCTCCACTGAACGACGAGGACGCCTGGTTCCAATTCATCGTCAGCAACTTCGAGAGGCACTACCTCGGCAACCGAGCACCCTTCGGCTTCTTCATCCACGAGTGGTACCTGGCCACCAACCAGGCTGTCTTGAGAGCCACTGTCAGGTTCATGGACATGTTGAACAACCTGCACGACGTTTTTATGGTAGGCTATTTCAATTTAATCAAATACTTATTTAACTTAAGTTGACGTGTAACGTGCATTAGACGTTGCATTTTTTTGAATCTTTTAAATTATTTTAATATTAAAATCTCAACACTACTTGTTTTCATTTTCTCCTTAATTTTTTTATAAAAAGCCAACCTCAACTATTATAATCAAAAATATTTGCAAGTTGCATTTTACCTATACTATTTCTTCTAGTCTTATAAAATCAACATCTTTAGACTCATGGACATTTTGAAAACTGTAAATTATGTCTTTTTCTTTATTTCTTTCTTACATACAACTTTATCATACTCTACTAAATACATTTTCGTCATTTCAAGGATAAGTTCCAAAATCATCATCTTCACCATTCTTCATTCCAGGTGAACTCCGCCGACGTCATCGACTGGGTGAAGAACCCAATCCCAGTGGATGAGTACGTCAAGCAGCCATGCAAGACCATCCAGTCCAGCCAGTGCTCGGCTACCAGCTGTGGACCTTTGCATTCTGTGCATAACTCGGTAAGGAAATTAAATATTTCCATCGTATAAGCCTTCAGACGTGATATCCATCAGACTTTTGATGATGATGATGATGATGACACAAAGCCATATCAACCTGACTGAGCCATGTTATACGTATACAGGGTGGAAACGTTAAGTGATCTCACTCCATTATTTCTAAACTATACAAGATATCGAAAAATTTATTACTGATTCTGAAAGTACTTCACAAGCTCTTTCAAACGGTAACAATAATAGGTTACAGAATAAACTGGATCTATCCGAAAATTCAATGTTTCCAGCTTCCATACATTTAGTAAAACCACCTAATATTAAAAACTATACAAGATATAAAAAAACTGGTTACTGATCCTGAAAGTGCTTCATGAGTTCTATCCAAAGGTACCAATAATATGTTACAAAATAAACTGGATCTATTCAAAAAGTTAATGTTTCAAGCTTCCATACATTTAGAACAGCCATAGTCATGGCACTCATGTCTTGTTAATATTATAGCAAGCAAAGCCTGAAACCAATGTTTTCCAAGAATAATTTAAAAAAGAATACAATTAGCGAGTTCATTTTAAGTGTTTATTATTTAATAAAAAAATATACTTCTATTATTGTTTGGCTGGCATACATTTAGTATGGAGGTTGAATGGTGTTAGTTATAAATTTTATAATAAATAATAAAATTAGCTGTTACCTAATATTAGTACCGTTGGATAGAGCTTGTGAAGTACTTTCAGGATTACTTAGTAATCAGTTTTGCGATATCTTGTATAGTTTAGAAATAATCGAATGAGATCACTTATCGTTTCCACCCTGTATGATGACTCACAAGATGAATTCAGACTTCAAGCGGTAGGTAAAATAAAAACAATGTCTTGTTATGACAAAAGTGAAAAACATTGTAAAATTTTGAAAGTTTTGGAAAACTTACTCGTAAATTAATATGTTGACTTTGATTTGAAATTACAAGGTCAGAGAAACTTAAAAGATTCTTTTGAAATGAATTTAGGAATCCTGAACATTCCGAATGTTGACCAAGATAATTATCATTTAGTTGGATTAAGGATCCTGTATACATTTCCATGGAAATCCTCAGAAATCTGAACGTGGAGAAATGGAGACCCAGAGATCTGGGTCTGGGAATATATTACGCTTATTAAACACATTTTCTATTGTTCCAGATGGATTATTGGATGCAGATCTGTACCTCATGCCCTCAATCGTACCCATGGATCGACAACCCTCTTGGACAAAATTAATGCATCAACAACAATAATAATAATAATTGTACATAATAATTATAATAATTTATTACCTACCTCAATAAAATAAACATACTTTAAATACTATTCAACACTTTTTATTTTCACTAAAGAAGACTAATGTAAATAATTTAATCGCCAACCAGTTCATAATAAACGTTTACCTTTCCACACTGTAATGGTTTTATTCAAAGTGCTTACTAATTTAGGACCTTTTTAAGCTGTTATAAAATAGGCACAGCTAAGGCATGTGTAAAATAGTTGGAATAATATTTCCCATTTTTGCAACAATTTTGTTTACTGCCCCTATTGGATGTAGAGCATAGGGTGACATTAATTTTTCAAATCGGACTAGTAATTTCTGAGATTAGCGGGTTCAAACAAACAAACTCTTCAGTTTTATAACATTAGTAAGTATAGATGTCCCTTGATAGAAGAAAAAAGTTATGTCATGAAGACCAGACTTGCTACTAATGCAGTATTAATTGTTTTAGTTCTTTCCGTTCTTACGTTCCAAATATTAGGGGAGACTGGGGCTGGTCCTAACAAATTTTGATTTGAGCGTAATATTTTCTAAACTGCTTTAGCAAGAAACATGGTTTTTTGGTACGTGATGTCAAATTTAATGAGCTTTACGTAAAGTACAATAAAATGTATATAATAATTACCATATCTGAGAAAAATCGAGTTTTGCCAAACAAGTCACTTGTTAGATCTTACCCCCGGTTTGGGGTTGGTTTTAACATCGCTGGGGAAAGTTTTAACAGCGGGGGTAAGAAATGATTTATAGTTGGGAATGGGATTTTGGCTAAGATAAACAACAAAATAATAATCAATGTTTATTAGAAACACTAATAAAATTAAATGCGGTTCCTTACCGTTCATAAAATAAACAGAAAACTTAAATTTTATTAGTTAAATAAACTGACTCACTCAATCAGCATTACTCAAATCAAAGAACAAAAAATAATTTTTGATCATCAAATGATCATTGAAATTCGGCTCCTTACTGTTTAAACATGTGTAATAAACTTAAAACTTACTAAATCTATCTTTATCAAATAAAATAACAAAAAAAATACTCATCTAATAAATCAACATACAACTTTGGTTATAAAAGTCAGTCTTACTCAATGTTCGAGGCAAATATTAACGCGTTAGAACCTACCCCGTGCATTTTGTTAAAACCAACCCCACGACCTCATTTTGCACAAAATTATTGTTTTTCTTTTACCGGTTATATTTTCGATTAAAACTTTGAAATTAATGAAAAATACAATAAATTCGGATTTATGCAATACCAAAGCCAATTTTCTACGATACATATTTAAAGAGTAATGCAAAAAATTAAACACGTAAAAAAGTTCATTTTCCTGTGAAATTGGAGGCGTCTGACGCAACCTGCTCCCGTGACGCTTGGCCGGCAACTGACAGGTCGAGACACGTTCGCGCTTATTCGTAGGCACAAAGTGCGTTGGAATTAGCGTGGTAAGTCGAATAGGTTCTATGTAATTACGCTGTTAGTATTTACCCCTGTTAAAACCAGCCCCAGTCTCCCCTACAATTCCTGTATGACCAGGATTTACAGTATGACTAGTACCCTACAGTAAGGAAAGATAGTGTGAAAGTAATAAGTAAAGAAACTAAGAAAAGTTTGAAAGTTAAAGTGGAGGTTAAATTGTACGAGTAGTTGTAGTTACTAAAGTTACTTTACTGTAGATTTATAATTTTTGCGTTAAGAAGTGTACTCGTATTTCAAACTCAAGTCTGCATAGCCCAAGGTCAGTGTAGTCGCCAGGCAAATAAATTATCAATTCCCACCTGAGGCCAAAGATTTTGTCGATTTAATATAATTATAAACATTTCCGTTTTATTAATCAGACTACATCTAAATAAATAGGTGCTAGAATACTTAAATTTTCCACATTCTTATCTACAGATTATAACAGATGATTCATAATAATTAAAATTAATTGAATTAAAGACAAACTGAACTCGAAAAAACAGTGATGTTGTTAATATAAGATAGGATATGGCAAGTGAATTCTATGAAAGAAAAGAAAACAAAGATATCCTAAATATGATCCTAGATTCTAGATGACCTGAGCAAATAGAACAATAAAGAAAGAAAAGAAAGAAAGAAAAAATATTTATTTGGTGTAAAAGATAGAACAAAATGTATCCATAGTTAAACTTAATAGCAAGTTAGTAACCTACTCACAGGAAGATTGATTCCATATTCAAAGATGAAAAACATAGGAAAATGCATATTTGATTTGCCTGATGATAATCATTACCTGAGTAATGCTTCCCACGCACATATTAACTCCTTTTTTCACTTGTTTGTGGCTTAAAGTTAAATTAATTCTGGTACCTACTAGATGTCAGGCCCTAACTTTTGTTCTTCGTCCTTGGTCCCTCACTGATGAGGATCGCGACCACATAATTTATAGTCCTAACTTTTAGGCAAATGTAAAAATCCCTCAATTTGTGACTCTCGCTGTCTTTTTCATTATTGGTCAAACATTAAACTAATCAAGTATTATTTGATTTGGTTCAGATTTTTTAGAATTTGATAAGATAAAACGCAGTGAAGTGCATAAAGAAAAAAATGTGCTATCGCAAAAATCCCCGATTAAAATCATATTACGGAGATTAAAATCGTTTGATATAAATAATGGCAAGGAAGCGTTTGATTCACAGTTTCTGTGAGAAGTGTCAGGCAAAATGAAGTGGAGTTGGTTGTTAATAACGGTGCTAGCTGCAGTAGCAGTCGCTGATGACTCATCAGAAGATGTATTGTCTCTAGCAGAATCGTGTAACCAAGAAGCTTGCCAGTTGCCAGAATGTCGGTGCTCCTCCACGAATATTCCTGGAAACCTGGAGCCCAGGAACACTCCACAGGTTTGTGAATGTTACGTCTGGCATACTTGATAGACTGTATTAAATTAATTAGACAAGTTAACTTTTGAAATGAAGAAAGTAAAAATGTACTACACAACAACAAAAATCAAAACTTAAAGAATATTAAATTTGATTTATTAGAAGTTGTGAAATTCAATGTGACACAGTTGACAAGATTATTTTTCTAGTGCAGACTCGTGTGTTTAATAGTGACAATGTAGTGCAAAGATGTTCTTCAATTTGTAAGAATGGTTACAAAAGAACTCTAAAATTGATGACTAATTTTAAATTAGAGGTCAATATTATTAAAAATGGATCGATGGGATTAATGTGACTTGTTTTTAATCCGAGTTTTTTTTTAATTTAATTCATTTCCTCAACTCACACAACATTTACTAATTCCATAGTTACAAAATAATTATGATCATTTCAACTTCAACTTTATCTTCTAGTTCGTCATGGTCACCTTCGACGACGCCGTCAACATCATCAACATCGAGACCTACCGTGACCTGCTCTACGGCCGTACTAACGCCAACGGCTGCTCAGCCGGAGGCACCTTCTACGTCAGTCATGAGTACACCAACTACCAGTTGGTCAATGAACTGTACAACCGAGGATATGAGATCGCTCTTCACTCCATCACCCACAAAACCGACCAGGAGTACTGGCGCACTGCCACCACTGAGGACATGATGAAGGAGTTCGGAGACCAGAGGAAGCAGATGGAACTTCTGGCGAATATTCCTATTTCTGAGATTCACGGTAAGATATTATATGACATACTCGTAAAATAATGAACAGTTCAGAAAAGTTCACGTCATAAAACTAGCTTCATTTTCCACCACTTTGGGACACATCGGTTGATGTTGAAACTCAATCACTATTGTCAGCCTCTACTGAATTTAATGATTTTTCGCAATGAGGTGAAAAAAGTGTTGTGTCCTCTAAAACTAATGTCATTACTATACATCTAAAAGATTAATTTAATTGAATGTAAAGAAAAGTAAATAAAATTAAATTGATGTGTAGAGCTACACCAAACTGATCAAATTGTATTTCCTTCCGATCCTAGGTATCCGAAGCCCATTCCTGCAACTGAGTGGTAACGCCACCTTCCAAGTTATCAAAGAGGCTGGTCTCACCTACGACTGCTCGTGGCCAACGATCTCCTTCGTCAACCCTGGTCTGTGGCCTTACACCCTGGACTACGCTTCAACTCAAGACTGTGTCGTGCCCCCTTGCCCGACTGCTTCCATTCCTGGAGCCTGGGTGGTGCCCATGGTCAGCTGGAATGATCTCCAGGGCGTCGCTTGCTCGATGGCTGACTCGTGCTTCTTTACGTAAGTTTTTGCTACATACCTACACACATTCAGGTACCCAAGTATCTGCAAGGTGAATCTAATCATAGATCCTATGCTCAGAAAAGATAGCCCATATCTTTGTCAAGTTGTTTTTTAATTGTTAGGTTACACGCTTCGTATTAGTGCATAAATATTATGCTTTGCACTCTGAAGGCTTTTTTGTTTCATTGTTATGAGTTTATTGAAGAGCCTATAAAAACACCATACGGCGCAACGAGTTGAAAGCTGTTAGAGCCAAATACTGCGTCTCAAATTAGTCAAATGAAACTGAGGGTTTAAACCTTCTCCTTGATCGTAGTTAGTACCATAGATATATAGAGAAATACCAATTAATGCGCTGAATTCGAAACTCAGTGTCGCATTAGAAATTCACACACAAAGAAATCAAAATATGTTCTCATTATCCACTGCGGTATCAGTACTCAACGTTCCAATAATATTTAATTTAATACTATGCAAGCAATGTAAACTGTTTACATTATGACGTCGCTGCTGTAACGAGCAAAGCAAACTGTTCTGTTTTTGGGCATATTGCTGCGACACCGGCACCGCCCCCTTGTCATATCTCCCTTTAGTTTCTGTGATCTGTGGTTAGTACAATATCTGTGTCTTTACTTGCAGTCCTTCGCTTACTGACGAGCAAGCCTGGTTCGAGTTCATCGTGGGCAACTTCGAAAGGCACTACTTGGGCAACCGTGCTCCTTTCGGCTACTTCGTCCACGAGTGGTACTTGAGGGCCTACCCTGCTGTCCAGCGCGCCGTCGCTAGATTCCTTGACATGATCAACAACATCCCTGATGTGTTCATGGTTAGTATTTT